ACACCTGGAAGTTAATACTTCCCTAATATCTTCAAATATTCAGTCAGGTTCAGATTTCCCTGATTATCTCATAAGTGGTTTTTTAGAACTTTAAAATTTTTTTCTCTATTTTTTCTGTTATATTATTTAGGTCTACATTTTGAAATAGTTTCAAACTAACAAAAACCTTTTGTGAAATTAGTACAAAGAATTCCTGTGTACCCTTTACCCAGATTCCCCAAATGGCAGCATCATAACTCAGCAGAATTATCAAGATCAGGAAATGCTTGTTGATAACAATCCTAGAATCTGGAGCCCTTCCTCAGAGCAGGCCCACTAACACCCCTTGTCTGCCCCAGGACCTCACCCCGGCTCACACGCAGCCTCTGGGGGTCAGGCCTGTTAGCGGCCTTCAGTCTGCAACAGTTCCTTGGTTCTTTGTCTTTTGTGACTGTGGTGACACTTTTGAAGAGTACTGGTCAGTTGTTTTTTGGAAAGTTTCTCAGTTTGGGCTTGGTATGTTTTTTTAAGCAACCATAAGTTTTTCATCCAAATGGAGACATTTGCAAATAAAAAGTTGCTGAATTCACAACTGCACAGAGACGGGGGGGTGTAAAGCAGGTCAGTGATGCCCCATGTCCCTGATACTTATGTCACTCTACTCAGTGTTCTTTTGGGTCCTCTCCCTTCCTTTCTTCCTTGGAACAAACGTGCTGAACTTCCAGCATTCTATATGCTGTTGGTCATATCCTCATAGTGCCATTTAACATGTTTCTCCATCCCTGTATTTCCAGTAAACCAGGGCTCCATCAATTCCAGTTTTTGGCCAGCCCCTCTTAAGCGTCTGCCTTCCTTCGCTTGGAGAATGCCACTCCTGATTCTGTCAATCTCCACAGTGAGACACAGTCTCCCTTAAAAGTTGGTTTTCCCAGGAGCCTGGGTGGCTTAGTTGGTTAAGCGTCTGACTTTTGATTTCAGCTCAGGTCATGATCTCAGGGTTGTGGGATGGAGCCCCACATCGGATTCCATACTCAGTGGGGGTCTGCTTGAGATTATCTCTCTCCCCCTCTGTCCCTCCCCTTCCTCTTCCCTGTCTTTCATTTTGTGTTTCTCCATGCACCTCCCTGAATGATCTTATTTAACCACCATCTATATGCTAATAATTAAAAAATCTCCATCTTCAGCCAGTACCTCTCTCTTGGGCTCCAGACCATCTTCTACTGTGTAGTAAGGAAGATCTGTCTAAAATTCCATCTGATTGGGTCACTTTACTTTTTAACATCCTCCCCGTTGCCTTCAGGATCAAATCCAAATTCCTCACTATGAATTTGAGGACCCTTATGACCCAGCCTCCACAGATTAGCCCAGCATCATCTTGTAGTTCCCGTCCTGTGCCACAGTTCCTAATGCTGACATGGTCCCTGGGCTCTAGGCTCTGCCCTCTGTGCTAACTCCCCTTTCTCCTTTCCTCATCTGGATGAATCCACCAGGAACCCCCTTTGCCAGGAAGCCTTTCCAGTGGCCATGGCTGGATGAACTCTCTTAAGTGTTTATCCCCACAGATGATGAGTCCTTGGATAGTAGGTCCATGTTTCATCTCTATCCTCATTGCCTGAAAGGTCACTGGCACTCAGATGTTGCTGAATAAATATTGAAGGTGACTGGAGATAGTATAAATTCCTTTTCCTTCAAACTTCAAGTTAGGGCCTTATATGGTTGTAAGGGTATGAAGGACAGGGAGCTGTGCAGTCCAGACTCACCATCACTAGCTCACCATCTACCAAACTCTTACTCTCATGTTAAGGCACAAGGATGAGTAAGAATACGGCCCTGAATCTTCCCTCCCAGGAGAAAACATAGAAAAAGTGTAGCCCTATCTCACAGGCACCAAGTGTTGTGAGGATATGGGGGATAAAGAGGATGAATTTGACTAAGGAAATTTGAAAACTCTTAGTGATTTGAATTGGACCTTAAAATACGGCAAGATTTGATATTGGTTTTGGGGAGAGGGCATCTTGAGCAGAAGCTTAGCTGCGGCCCATGCAAGGAGCATTCCGCTTTGGGATGACTGTAGGCTAGGATGTGCAAAGGAGGAGACCATGAGGGAATGCTGGAAAGGTATGCAGTAGGGACCATGCTGCAGAGGCCTTTGAAGGCAGAGGAGTTTGGATTTGTCCTGACTTGTCCCCCCACAGCTGTGCCTCCGCATACCTCAGATCGGGGGTGAGAGCAAGGCTTTACAGAGGAGGTTGAAAAAGTTGGAACAGTAAGGGTGGACAGCTTTATCATTCCTTGCAAGGATAGAGCTCATTATGTTCCAGAAGCTCCTGATGGCAGAAGTGAGGAAAAAGTAGTGATGGGAAGCTTCAAAAATATTTTTCAACTACTATTTTTGTGTTCATGTTGGAGGGAAGGATGAATAGACAAAATCAGTATAAATTTGAATGTTTTGGCTTCAGAGATGACTTACATTGTGAAGACAGTCCCCACCCCACCCTGTTCCTGTTTGCACATAACAGATTTATTAGCCTTCACCCTTGACTCTGCCCTTGTCATACAGCAGGGAGAAGGGAGGTGAAGGTGTCTGTGCCTGAGCGCTCAACCGCTATAGGGACGCCCAGGCCTGGGGCCTCCTTGCTACTCCCATTCTTCTGGCCACCCCGACAGGAAGCTGTGGAGTCACTGCTGACTCTCCTCTGACCTCATCCCCCACATTCAAACAGTGGCCAAGTACTTGCAAATGTCCCTCTTGGCTTTAGAATGCTCAAGTGGCAGGTTGGGCTGGGTCGTCCAGTTTAACTGCTGGCTCCTGGACTCACTGGCTTCCTTTCCGTCCGCGTGCAGCAGGTGTTACCCAGCCACTGTGCCTGGGTGGGCACCCCAGCTCTGCGCTCTGGGAGGCCTGGCTCCCTGAGTTCTTTCGTACTGTGTAAATGGCATGTAGTTGGTGGGGAGTCAGTTTGTTGCTGCGTGAAGACAACCATTTCTAAACTCTTCCCCACCCAGTCATGCTTCAATCCACTAATGTCTAAAGATGTTGGATCCAAACAGAAAAAGAAACCCATGTACTTTCCTTACACATCTGGGACTCCTGTCTTTGAGAGTTAACACTTCCTCTTGACATGAGCTCCTCAATGGAGAAGCCTCTTGGCCAATCAGTGTAACAACCCTGTCCCTCCCATGTTTCAAGTCCATTCAGGCTTCTGCCTCCCTACCCGATAGGCCCACAGTTGGCCCCAGTCAGCACCACCGGCTGTCGGCCTTTTAGCTCCTTTCTGCAAGAAATCCTCAGTTCTGTTGTTGGACACCCCACTGCTTGCTCACCTACCCCCCTACCTTTCCGAAGCCCCCTACTCCCCATTCTTTAACTGGATGGTCTGAACATACTTCTTAATTGGAAATTTCTTAACTTTGTGGATGAATTTTAGTCATTAGCAGTGAGGATGTATGAGAGAACTAGTCGAGAGGGGATTCCTCCTGAAGGACAGAAAACTTGTGCAAGCCATATAGGGTGAAGGCCAGCCCGGGCCACTGTCCCTCCCTATGGAGCCACATTCTGCTGGCCAGAAACCTGGATGCGAAACCATACACACCTCAAGTTCTTGGCTGTAAAAACCTCTAGGCACACCTCATTTTAAAAAATTTATATCATAGGCTCCCATTGGCACAGCACTTTTGGGGGCCCTCCTGGGCTTGGCACATTTTGGGTCTACAAATGTGTGTGTTGCTCGAGAGGTTAGAAGTCCTGACTTCTGACTCTGAGAATTTAGGGTCCCTAAGATTCAGCTCCAGAAGAAAGAGAAACATTTGTAAGAGGATTCCATGTGTTTTTTAAGTGGGGAGAGTCATGGAAATGAGAATTTGGGATCATGGCAATCCCATGAGAAATGGGGACAGTGCCTCCCTGTGCAAGGGGACATTACGGAGGAGCCCTGGGTCTCCATTAGTGACCTGACACAGCTTTGACCTCTTGGCTCGTTGCAGGGGATGGTGGCAGAGGGCAGAGTCCTGCCTGAAGGTGCTTTATTTTCTCTCCCAAGGAGCCATCCGGCCCAGCCAAGCCCTAGACTCCCCTGGCATTGTGGTAGCAGGCTGTTTTGTAGGTGTTGACATTGGTTCTTGGCATCTGACCAGAAAATAGAGAGCTTTGGAGGATGGATGGAAATGATCACATTTAAACTAGCATTCCCTTCTCAAATGTCCCAGGCTGGCCAGCCTGCCCTCCCCAGCATGGGTTTGGCCCCTTCACGGAGGAGGGCACACAGACCCCGACAGACACAGGGCCCACCTTGTGACCTTCTGGACAGGTGTCTTGCAGCTGCCTTTGCTGATAGCTATGTCAGAGGCCAGGTGGCACCTGGGCCAGCTAGCTTCTTGCAGAGGTGGCCCCTTCCTGGGGACCGGTGTGGGTGGCACCCTGGTGAATGTGCCCCCATCTGGGGCTGCAGAGCCCAGTGTCTGGAGCAGAGGCAGATCTGGGGCCTTAGGGACCACGGCTCTGGGGCCCAGGGCTGGAGTTGTGGCCAAAGCAGGGAGGGCATCTTACATTCTGGTGGGTGCGGCGGTCGCCTGTCAGTGCGCATGCGGCTCGCGGACCCGCCGCTCCACCTCTCCCACGCCCCCTACCGCCTCCTCTGGGCTGTAGCCGCAGGGTCTGAACCTGCTTCGTTGTACATGAATTTCAGTCATTAACATGAATAGATACATTTTACTTTTCTATGTATATTGGCACAGACTCTGAAAGCATTTTTAGGGAATGGCCTGACAATGGCTATAAACTGTCTCCACCATTTAATATACAGAAAGTCACATGGTGCATCTGTTTCAGATTGGGATCTTGCATGGACGCTAACTGCGGGATGAACTGTCCGGCCCCACCTTTCTTCCTGCTCCATTAAACAGTGATCGCAATACTTCCTGAGCCCAGAAGCAAAAATCTTCTGTTGGCTGCCCTCTCTCAGCGCGCGATGTGTTCCTGTTGCCCCAAAGCGTGAACTAAAGCCGTGCTCTCTTCCCTGCAGAATTTCCTACGACCCCGCCAGGTACCCGAAGTACCTGCCCGAGGCCTATTGCCTGTGCAGGGGCTGCCTGACCGGGCTCTTCGGGGAGGAGGACCTGCGCTTCCGGAGCGCCCCGGTGTACATGCCCACCGTCATCCTGCGGCGGACCTCGGCCTGCGCGGGCGGCCGCTCGGTGTACGCGGAGGAGTACGTCACCGTGCCGGTGGGCTGCACCTGCGTCCCCGAGCAGGAGAAGGAAGCAGACAGCAGCAACTCCAGCGTGGACAAGCAGGGCCCCAAGCTCCTGCTCGGCCCCAGCGACAAGCCGGGCCGGCCCTGAGGCCCTGCCGCTGTCCGAGGCCCCTCTCCCTGGAGCGCGCGGGCTGGTTCCACCTCCCAGGAGCGAAAACGAAGACGGAAAGGGGTAAAGGCCGCAACCGAACGGGAGAGGTTTCTGACCCGGCGGCTTGGCAGCTCACGCGCACACAGCATCATCCCCTGGTTTTCCTGGAGGCAGCAGCACAGAGTCGGTGAAGGCTGCCGGGAGGTTACCCCGTACATTGCAGCAGGCAGGGCGCGGACGGCCAGGGCCCGCGGAAGGTGGCTGGAGCCTGGCAAGCGCAGAAGTGTCTTCGTGGCCCTCCCTCCGCGGCCCTCCGGGCTCAGACCCTTCCCCCACCGCCCAGCTACAGTGCGGCGCCCTTAGGACGCTCTGGGAAGCGGGGCGAGCCTTCACAAGATAGATGGTAAATGGGTGCTTCTAAAAGGGGGCTTTTTTTTTTTTAAGTGGAATATATTCCTACTTTTTTGTTCAATGTTTTCAATGAGGCAGAAACTATTTTTATATTAGGAATTTTGAGTATATTAAAAATTTTTTACTTGACATGTATTTTATAACCATTCTGTTGTCACTTCCTCTGGTAAGATTTTTTAGAAGCACAGCTGGAATCCTCAGATAAACTTTTTAGCTGGCACTGGGGCCCGAGTCCCTGAATTCAGCCTGTCCCCAGTTGCTGGCCATAACAAAACGGACAGGGTTGAATGTGACCTCCGTGAAGATTTTCACAGGCTGCTCCATGAATAAAAGAGAAGCGCAGGAGGCTCAGCTCACCCCAGGCTGGCCAGGCATTCCAGAAACCTCAAACGTGGTTTGTTCGTGACTGTATAAATGGCCACAGATGTATACAATTAAATACTTCTTCACTTTTGAAAGTAAGTGGAGCCCAATAAGAGGTCACGGTGGGACAGGGCAAGAGGTGGAATGTGCTATCTTTGTCAATTCTCAGAAGAGTCCAAGTCTTAGCTTAGTTGCAAGGGCTTCAGGAACTAGCCAAATAGGAGAAGCAGGCCAGCTTATGATTTCCAGAAATCAGTATTGGGGGCCTCTTTTTCTACATCCTTCAGTGTGAGCTAAAACCATACTCTCTTCTGTAGGCTGGAAGTTTGTCCTTGAACACAATTATTTGTAAAAGTGACAAGTTCTTTTTAAATCATTAAAGCAATTGTAGGTGAAGGGCATGTTGGCTGTGTGCATTTCTCTCTGGGCTCCACTCATTTTTAGAGGAAACTATTTTAGTCTTCACTTTATCGTAATTTTATGGTTGAAGTTTAAATTAAGATCTGATTTGGTCTTTGAAAGATCAACTACTCCTGCAAAGTCAGTCTCTCTTCTGTGACACCCCAACCAAGCCAAGAAGTGTCCCTTATTTATATGTATCTTTTTTTAAGATTTTTTTTTTTTTTTTAATTTGTCAGAGGAGCACAAGCAGGGGGAGTGGCAGGCAGAGGGAGAAGCAGGCTCCCTGCAGAGCAAGGAGCCCGGCTCAAGACTCGATCCCAGGACCCTGGGATCATGACCCCAGCCGAAGGCAGACGCTTAACCCACTGAGCCACCCAGGCGTCCCTATTTATATGTATTTCACTCTCAAACTTCAGCTGTCAGTAACAGAGCTTTAGCTCCTTAGTTACCAAGTATTAGCCTTAGTTTGATCTACATGGAAGGTTCACTGAGAGAACTTTCAACTTGTATTGACAGAGGTTGTATGTGAAAAATACATTGCTGAGCAAAATCCAGATTTTCCAAAAATTCAGAAATTCAAAATTGAAAGTGTTAGCTGTGGATAGTTCTGTACAATCTGGGGAATTTTACTTCTGCATTCAATCTCTGGGGGAGTGGTGTGTGTGGAAAAAAAGGTATCCCCAGTGGTAGTATATCTGGAATACATTCTTGTCCGGAGCAATCTTTCATTGCCAGCTCAAAAATAATATCAAATCCATAAATTAAAAAGAAAAACTGCTTTTAAAGCAGTGGCTTGGGTAATCGTTACATTCACTGCCACTATTGGGTTACATTTTCCAGCTACTCAAATATTAATAGTGCAAACATCAGAGGAGACTAGACTTAAGGAGAGTAGACATTTGGGGAAACTATCACGGTTTTATTTTTATTATTAGTTTAACTAATTAGCTTGTGAAAAGGTAGCAAATTCCCTGTGGAAGAAATTTAGCTTTCCATTCTATAGAACCGGAAAGGCAACCTTTCTTTGTGTTTTCTCTCTGAATGGAATATTCATCCACTTAATATTTATTGAGCACTTGCCCTGTTCCAGGCCCCTGAGAGCCACCTGTGAAGCAGGCACAGTCTCCGTCCTCGGCCGAAAGCAGACCCTGCACGGGCTGTCAGAGCACAGTTAGGCGTTGGCGGGCCGCTCCTCACAGGACGTGCGGCCCCGTGAATCTGAGCCACATTTTCCTCCCTTATAAATGGATGGTGCCGCCTCCTTCAGTCCCTGTGAGGACCACACACCGTCTGTAAAGCACAGCGCCTGGCACATAGGAGGTATGAGAACATACTGGCCGCAGTGATTTATAAGCTACACTGAAAATAAATATCAAGCTATTCTTTCTTCATGTTATGTTTACTGCTTTAGCAAGGATAGGTCATTACAATGACTTTTTGTATAAAAGTTTAAAAAATCGGGGCGCCTGGGTGGCTCAGGGGGTTAAGCGGCTGCCTTCGGCTCAGGTCATGATCCCAGGGTCCTGGGATCGAGCCCCACATCCGGCTCCCTGCTCAGCCGGGAGCCTGCTTCTCCCTCTTCCTCTGCCTCTCCCCCTGCTTGTGAACTCTCTCTTTCTCTGTCAAATAAATAAATAAATAATCTTTAAAAAAAATAAATAAAATAAAAAATAAAATATCTATCCCTAGGCAGCAGCAACCAGATAGAATATGTTGGAGTGAATGTTAACTAATGGCAATTAAAATTAAAACTTGAAAAAAAATATGTTGGAGGGAGAGGGGGGTGATAGTCTGGGGAGATACTGTTTCAGGGAATAAGGAGAGTTTATTGGGCAGAATTTTGTTCCCTTGCTATACGAACGCGGTGTTGTGGAGCAGAGAGAGCTTGTTACTGTGTTTCAGCAAAGGCCTGGGGAAGCTGCCGGCCACAGCAGTCCTGACAGCCGGGGTGGAGGAGCGGCCCCTCCCGCGCGGGCCTAGGCACCCCGCTCACCGGTGCCCACAGTGAACGCAGCGGCGCCGCGCGGGCCGGCCACTTCAGTCCCGGGCTTCACGGAGCAGCACACTTTGCTAGTGGGAGGTCCACGGCTTCGCCCCTCCTCTCCAGGGAGCGCCACGGGCCGACGTTTCCTTCAAGTCATTCTACCTGGAGGGCTTCCAGGCAGCCCTCGGGACGGACGCACCTCGCTGGTTACTGAAGACTTTTTCCAGCCGACTGACAGTATATCTACTGTATGCTTGCTTGATAAAAACAGAATCATTTGGGAATATCAACCAAAACCCATCACAGATGCCAACAGTTCCACATTCAGGGTCCAGTTACCCAAACTGCTCGGGTTGCCGCAGGTCTTTTAGCAAGGCAAAGGGAGAAAAGGGTCATTGCTGAACCCGCTCTGATTTGAGAGAGGAATGGAAGGGAAGAGCGTGACGTTCCCATGGGAAATGGGGTTTCCAAGTGCCTCTGGCATTTCATTTGTTCCAGCTGCCGGGGTTCCCCATCACCCCCAAACAACCCCGCGAGGTCGCTGTATGGATTTCTGAATTGTCAGCAACACGGAACTTACTATCCTCTTTCCACTCACGCTATGGTTATTTTGTCTCAGTGCGAATCTCTTAAATTAGCAAGGACTTTAAAAAGGTGTCTCTTACAATATTCTTTTGAGGTTCTGAAGCGCTCTGGTCGGGTGGAAGAGGTGAGGCTGCCTCCTAAGAAGTCAGGAAGCTTCTGTGAAGCGCGCCCCCACGTGTCCTCGTGTTCCCCGCCCCCCCCCCCCCCCGCCCTGCCAGCTGTGCAGCCCGGGCTCCTGTTCTGGGGGCTGCAGAGGCGGAGCGGCAGACCGTTTATGAGATTCAGAAGTGGATCATATGTGGACACAGGTTTGCTCAGATCACAAGGGGTCCAAAGCAATAAAGCACATGTTGGCTGCTTACTATACAATAATGTAATTAAACATTTAATGAGTCCAGCTCTGGCCTTCCCTCCCCCACCCTCCAGGAAGAAATAAGATTTCTCCTCCTCGTCGAAACGCTAGACTTCTAGGATAACTACAATTCTGTATTTCTAGGCTGCTACTTGCCCCCAATTCCTAAGTCACACATGACATTTCCATACATTATTTGTCACTACAATATGTTACTGGCCTAGGTAATTTTTAGTGAACTGACTCATGAGGAAATAAGGTAGGGGGTATTTTTTAAAGAACATTTATTGAATACTTCACATGTGCCAGGTGCTGATACACTGACAAAAATATAAATGTCTCATAAAAATACCAAGTGATTTTTAAAGTAAATTAAAAATTATCCCAAAGTAGGACCGTCGAAGGCTAAGAACGAACAAATAGGAGCAAGCCCCCCCCCCCAATGCCCCATTTCCTGAGCGCTGGCGTCAGGGCACCAGGCTCTCCAGGACACGCTGGGTTTTCGCTGCAGTAACCATCCCACAGTCTCTTGATTTTCAAAAGCAGATGTGTATTTCCTGCTCACCCTCCGATTCCACTGCAGGCCCACCGCTCCGCTCGAGCACCTGCTTGCGTGTGGAAAACTGCCGGTAGCCATGTCAGAGAGAAAATAAAGCTCTACTTGGCACTTCCTTTGTTTTTTTTTTAAAGATTTTATTTATTTATTTATTTATTTATTTATTTATTTATTTATTTATTTATTTATTTGAGAGAGAGAATGAGAGCACGAGAGGGGAAGAGGATCAGAGGGAGAAGCAGACGCCCCGCTGAGCAGGGAGCCCAATGTGGGACTCGATCCTGGGACTCCAGGATCATGACCTGAGCCGAAGGCAGTCGCTTAATCAACTGAGCCACCCAGGCGCCCCTCCTTTCATGTTTTGTTAGCAAAGCAAGTCACCTGAGGTGGGGAAGTGTTATTCTTCACCTCCCATTTTTTTTAAGTTTTTATTTTGAAATGATTCTAGATTCACAGGAAATTGCAAAAACACTACAGAGAGGTCTTGTGTGTCTTTTACCCAGTTGCCCGCAATGAGAACACCTTGACCAAGCACAGAATCAGCCCCAGGAACTGGATGCTGCACACCACCCACAGCCCTCACCCGGAGTTCACCAGTGTTGCGAGCGTGTGCGGGTCCTGTGTAATGCCCCCCGTGGAGTTGGGTGTAACCACTGCACAATCAAGATGCACAAGAGCTCCACTTCCCCTAAGATCTCCCTTTGCTTGTCCCACCCCCCGCTCCCCCACCCCTTAACCTCTGCCAACCACCAATCTGCTCTCCATTCAAGAATGTTACATCAATAGAAACACAGTGTGTAAGCTTTGCGGACCGGCTTTTTTCACTCAGCACAAGGCCCTTGAAAGCCATCCAAGTTGCAGGTATCAGTAATGTGCGGTGGTGTGGATGAATGATGGATAATTTTTGAAATAGAACAGTCTAGCATGCTTCTCACGTCCTTTCTGCTATAGTGTTTGGTTTGCACATGGCAGTTTCAGTTTCTCCGGGGCCTGGCGCATTGCTGTGGCTTTAGCCGAGGGTGCAGGGGCGGTGCGCGCACAGAGAGCACCTGGGCTACGTGCCTGTCATCCCTCCAAGAACCGGGGCGAGGAGGCGGCTTTCAGATCCCAGTTCCAAGGATTCTCAACTTCTTTCACGGAGGCAAGTCGTGTCTCCTTGAGGGGCTGGAGCAGATGACAGGCCCCTTCACAAGTCCTACGACACTCCAGGAAAGCTGCCGTGAACAATCAGCGGTCCACTGGGTAGAGTCGGAACGGGCCCCTGTTAAGGGGGCAGATGGCCTGAGGCAGAGGCTTAGGTCCTAATTCAGGTCTTGGCCAAGCCACTAAGCTGTTTGTACTTCGGTTTTTCACCTGTTCTTAGGTCAGGAGAGCAGATTTTAGATAGGTTCTAAGATTTCTTCCCACTATAATTCCATGGATTCAAGTTGGCAAAAGCATCCCGAGTTCTAGAGATGCTGGCAGTCAGGAAGTCATAATGAGATGTTATATTCTTTATTTTGAAAATTAGGCCAGGGAGAGCCCCACTTTGCAGGGGAGGGGTGGAGGTTGTAACTTTTCAATCTACCAAGGAAATAATGAGAGAAATGTCACACAGGATCCTTTACATATTATATTACTATCTGCATTTAGATTTCATGGTCTAGCCCAGAATCATAATTCACATAACAGCGAAACTCATTTCCCAGGGTCCGGGTGTGTTTTGGAATAAACTTGCACATCTTCACGCCAAGAAGTTTTGCTGCCTCTTCTTCCATGACAGCACCTGAAGGGAACAAACGCAGTGAACCCAAAGCCTGAAAGCCTGTAGTAAGTTGACAATATCACTCAACAAATACAGGGGAAGGCCAATTCTTTATATCCCTTTTTACTTTCTTCAACACATTTGCAAATTAGCTACTTTTTTCCCTTTTTCATTTAATAAATGGTTTTCCTACCTCTGCAAAACTGAGTCACTTAGAAAAATTTAGAAATAAAGTTATACTCCACAAAGTTAACATAAGGAAAGTAAATAATTACTAAGAACTAGTGTTTTCCAATTTTGAGTCAAGACCCCCCCCCCCCCGCTTCTCAGTACTACCTGACCTTGCAAACTCATGGGAACACATTCACACCAGCTTCTGGCTGAGTGCTCCTGAGTCTCACCCACTGCCTGGCATGTGGCCACCGCCCTGGACACGCCCCTGGGGGGCTCGGAGCGCCTCTCCCGCGACACCCATCACAGGAAGTGCTTCTCTAGCCAGCCCAGGCCCGAGACCCTGGGCTCATCCCGGATTCTTCCCTTCTCTCCACGTTCTGAGCACAGTGAGCTCTTCCGCCTTGATCTCAAAGTGTATCTTTACTCCACTCCCCGCCCTCCCTTTTACTGCCACACCTCGTCCTGACCATGGTCTCGGCTAGACACACCCTCGCGGGGGGGCCTGCTTCCACTCCCGCCCTAAAGCCCTTTCGGCACAAAGTGAAAGCGCACTTCTTTAGGCCAACTGGGTCCTGTCAGTTGGTGGCTGCGACCTTGAAAGGCCAGTCCCAACACGGGCCATCACCTTGTAGGGGCCCTCTCGCCCCTCCCCCGGCTTCAGCGGTGCTCCTCGCATCCCTCCAAGAACCAGGGAGAGGAGGAGAACTCCAGGGGGCTCTCAGACACTGGTTCCTGGAATTATAACCTCTTCCCATCGCCCCCTCCCAGGGGCTGCCCCTTGAGGTCTCCACTGGAATGTTGCTCCTCCAGGAGCCCTCCAGCCCCATCTTAAGGGCACCCATCAATCTCAGTGCCCACCCCGCCCTTCTCTGATTCTTTCACTACACTTACCAGAATCGGTCATTCATCTCTTCCGTCTGTTCTGTTACAGTTTTTAACCTATCCCCTAAAACTAAAAGGTGCGCTCCACGAGGTCAGAGCGCCAGCCTGTCCGCCAAACAAACGGCTAGCAAACAACTGCTGAATTAATAAGCCTTAAGTAAACATGACTTGGGAGAACCACAGTCACCTTCTTGACAGTTCTCCAACACAACAGAGAACAGACTCCCTGCAGCTCCAGCTCCCTGCCCAGCCCAGCCTGAGGGGCCCCGGCAGCCCAAGCGGCACCCTGGGGCCTGGAGAGCAGCCCCCCAACATAGCTGACCAGGAGTTAATGTGCTGGTTCTCCACCAACCCTCTGAATATCCACCTTCAGAAAGTACATGACTCTCACCAGTAAGGAAACTCTTCTGCTGATTAAGTAAATCTAATCCAATGTCTAGCTCTGTAACCCTAGGCAATTCATTTTAACATTATCGATTCCACGTTTCTCTTTCATCAAGTCTAGAGGCTGGATCAAATACTGCTACTATTCCTGATGAGGAGTAAAAATAACACAGCCCACTCACCAAGGGCCAGACCCCACTTTACGTGTATCGTATCACTTAATTCCAGTAACGCTGAAAGGCCGGTAGTATTACCAGTCCCAGTTTAGAGATAAGGAAACCTGGGCACAGAGAGGTTATGCAACTTGTGTAGGGTCACACAGTAGGTGGATTCAGGCTTTGAGTTCTGAGATCTCTTCCAACTCCTGAAACCTAAGGCTGGAATATCCTGTCATCAATATTCCTGAGACGCACAATCAGGCACCTACCTGTGCACAGTAGAATCTTGCCCTGAGTCAGATACTTGATGGTTTCTGATGTTTTTCTGAGACACTCCTTGGAAAGGTAGGGGGGATCTGCTATTACGATGTCAAAACTATGTGCGGCAATTTTTTCGGGTAAATCCAATGGATTATTGTAATCATAGAAGATAAACTCCTCTCCGTATATAGCAAATCTTTTGTCATATTCAAAGATGTATACAGAAAAGTCTTCTCTGTGTAGGGCTCTCAGTTTCTGGTAAACACTGGGGGCGCTCACACAGGCTATTCTAGAAAACAAAAGGAACAGACTCATGAAAGATCTTTAATGGATAGCTTACGGTGTTAAGTAACAACTACTTCTCTAAGAAAATACAGGTCCTTGCATTCTGATTTTAATCAGAGTGCAAGCTAATGCAAAGGCAGTAAATTTTGAGAGAAAACTATACTACCTCACTTTTAAGGAATCTGGTGTTTAAAAATCCTGCAACTCATAATTTTAAGGTATGAAAGAATAACTGTGCTTTTTTATAGTAAAAAATGTAAGACATTAGGAACACATTAGGAAGAAAGTTAGATAGCCCAAGGCTTAAATTTGCTTATTATTTTCATGTTGGTCCTTGTTTTGACATTTATTTCCAATACTTTTAGTCTCAAATTAAGTATTTTGAAGTTACTTTGTAATATTCATAATCTAGAGCAGAAAACCCCAAACGATTGCCTCAATAACTTGTTTTCCACAGATACCCTAAAATTCAACCTCAGTGCAGACAAGCTACTTTAAATTTCTGCTTCTTTTTTGTGTAAGGAAACCAAAGAATCTGTTTCATTATAAGCAATCCCTAGTTTATGAATGGGTAGTGCTCCAACATTTAACTTTAAAACCAACTACTAAAAAGCTAGAAGTAACCTAAATATTGAATTACTGAGCTGAATATCTATTAAACATCTATTAAATGGAATGCTACGTAGTCATTACCCTGCAAGATACTCAAGAAGTGTAAACCATGCCTTTTTTTATTATTATTATTAGTTTCAGAGGTAGAATTTAGTGATTCATCAGTTGCATATAACACCCAGTGCTCATTACATCACGTGCCCTCCTTTTTTTTTTTTTTTTTAAAGATTTTATTTATTTATTTGAGAGAGAGAGAACATGAGAGGGGGGAGGGTCAGAGGGAGAAGTAGACTCCCTGCTGAGCAGGGAGCCTGATGCGGGACTCAATCCTGGGACTCCAGGATCATGACCTGAGCCGAAGGCAGTCGCTTAACCAACTGAGCCACCCGGGTGCCCATCATCACGTGCCCTCCTTAATGCCCGTTATCCAGTTGTCCTATGCCCCTAACCCCCCTCCCCTCCAGCAACCCTCAGTTTGCTTTGTAGAGTCCAGTATCTCATGGTTTGTCTCCCTCTCAATTTTCATCTGATTTTATTTTTCCCACCCTTCCCCTATGTTCATCTGTTCTTTCTTAAATTCCACATATGAGTGAAATCATACAGTATTTGTCTTTCTCTGACTTATTTTGCTTAGCATAATACCCTCTAGCTCTATCCATGTTGTTGCAAATGGCAAGATTTCATTCTTTTGATGGCTGCATAATATTCCATTGCATATAGGGGCACCTGGGTGGCTCAATGGTTAAGCGTCTGCCTTCGGCTCAGGTCATGATCCCAGGGTCCTGGGATCGAGCCCCACATCGGGCTCCCTGCTCCACGGGAAGCCTGTTTCTCCCTCTCCCACTCTCCCTGCTTGTGTTCCTGCTCCCACTATCTCTGTCAAAAAAAAAAAAAAATTCCATTGTATATATATACCACATCTTCTTTGTCCATTCAACTGTTGATGGACATCTGGGCTCTTTCCATAGTTTGGCTATTGTGGACATTGCTGCTATAAACACTGGGGTGCATGTGCCCCTTTGGATCACTGTGTTTGCATCCTTTGGGTAAATACCTTGTAGTGCAATTGCTGAGTCATAGGGTAGCTCTATTTTTAACTTTTTGAGGAACCTCCATACTGTTTTCCAGAGTGGCTGCACCAGTTTGTATTCCCACCAACAGTGTAAGAGGGTTCCCTTTTCTCCACATCCTCCCCCGGGATCTGTTATTCCCTGTCTTGTTAATTTTAGGTATTCTGACCGGTGTGAGGTGGGATCTCATTGTGGTTTCGTTTTGTATTTCCCTGATCCGAATGATGTGGAGCACTTTTTCATGTGTCTGTTGGCCATGGTATGTCTTTTTTGGAAAAATGTCTGTTCATATCTTCTGCCCATTTCTTGACTGGATTTTTGTTTTTTGGGTGTTAAGTTTGATAAGTTCTTTATAGATTTTGGATACTGGCCCTTTATCTGATATGTCATTTGCAAATATCTTCTCCCATTCTGTCGATTGTCTTTTGGTTTTGTTGACTGTTTCCTTTGCTGTGCAAAAGCTTTTTATCTTGATGAAGTCCCAATAGTTCATTTTTGCCCTTGCTTCCCTTGCCTTTGGCAATGTTTCTAGAAAGAAGTTGCTGCGGCTGAGGTCAAAGAGGTTGCTGCCTGCGTTCTCCTCTAGGACTTTGATGGATTCCTGTCTCACATTTAGTTCCTTCATCCATTTTGAGTTTATCTTTGTGCATGGTGTAAGAAAATGGTCCAGATTCATTCTTTTGCATGTGGCTGTCCAATCTTCCCAGCACCATTTATTGAGGAGACTGTCTTTTTTTCCACTGGATAGTCTTTCCTGCTTTGTCAGAGATTAGTTGACCACAGAGTTGATGGTCCATTTCTGGATTCTTTATTCTGTTCCATTGATCTATGTGTCTGTTTTTGTGCCAGTACCATACTGTCTTGATGATTATGGCTTTGTAATAGAGCTTGAAGTCCGGAATTGTGATGCCTCCAGCTTTAGTTTTCAACATTCCTTTGGCTATTCAGTGTCTTTTGTGGTTCTACACAAATTTTAGGATTATTTGAGTCAGCTCTATGAAAAATGCTGATGGTATTTTTTTTTTTTAAGATTTTATTTATTTATTTAATTGACACAGAGAGAGAGACAGTGTGAGAGGGAACACAAGCAGGGGAAGTGGGAGAGGGAGAAGCAGGCTTCCCGTGGAGCAGGGAGCCCGATGCAGGGCTCGATCCCAGGACCCTGGGATCATGACCTGAGCCGAAGGCATTCGCTTAACCAACTGAGCCACCCAGGCGCCCCAATGCTGATGGTATTTTGATGGGAATGCACTGAATGTATAGATTGCTTTGGGTAGCACAGACATTTTAACAGCATTTGCTCTTCCCAGCTAGGAGCATGGAATGTTTTTCCATTTATGTCTTCCTCAATTTCTTTCTTTTTTTTTTTTTTAAAGATTTTATTTATTTGTTTGAGAGAGAGAATGAGAGAGAGAGAGAGAGAGCACATGAGAGGGGGGAGGGTCAGAGGGAGAAGCAGACTCCCCGCCGAGCAGGGAGCCCGATGCGGGACTCGATCCCGGGACTCCAGGATCATGACCTGAGCCGAAGAAGGCAGTCGCTCAGCCAACTGAGCCACCCAGGCGCCTTTCCTCAATTTCTTTCGTAAGTGTTCTATAGTTTTCAGAGTACAGATCCTATAACTCTTTGGTTTGACTTATTCCTAGGTATGTTATGGTTTTTGGTACAATTGTAAATGGGATCAATTCTTTGATTTCTCTTTCTTCTGCCTCATTGTTAATGTATAGAAATGACTGACTTCTGTGCCTTGATTTTATATCCTGTGACTTTGCTGAATTCCTGTATGGTTCTAGCAAGTTTTGGGTGGAGTCTTTGGGGTTTTCTGCATAGAGTGTCATGTTGTCTACGCAGAGTGAAAGTTTGACATCTTTGCCGATTTAGATGCCTTTTATTTCTTTTTGTTGTCTGATTGCTGAGGCTAGGACTTCCAGTACTATGTTGAACAACAGAAACCAAGCTTTCTTGGGTATAAGAACATATGCTTACAGATGCACCGGTGGTCTCTGGGAGATGCACAGAGCCAGAGACCACTGCCCCATGGAGGGGAACCAGGGCCCTGGAGGTTGACTTTTTCCTCAATCCTCTTTGTAACTTTTAGATTTTCATCATTTATATCATCATACAAAAAAGTACCCCTTTTAAAAATTAGACACAGCTTTAAAACTGTGAGATACATTTCTGAACAGAGACCGTGTTCCATGTACCAGTCGGGCTCCTGTGCCCAGCTAAAAAGGCTTCTCAGCCCCAGTGCACTTGAAGCGTGTGATACACCCCGGCGATGTCACATACACTTCTGTGAGAAACACACGTCCCAGCCCGGACAGACAAGGGCCACCAGAGCCCCCAGCCCAGGCTGCTGCCAGAGCTCTGGGGGGCAGAGAGAGCAGAGGACGGAACGATGTCCTCATTGTGCTCAAAGATAACAAGCAGCGAGCCCAGCTCAGATGCTCAATGCAAGTATCTTCTGAGAAAGAGGGTGAGATACAGATAGTTTCAGACAATCAAAATCTGAGAGTTTGTCACCAGCAGATCTCCACCATGAAATTCCAAAGCTGTATTTAGGGCAGAAGGAAAGTGATCTGGAGTGCAAGAGGGACTGAGAGCGGAATGGCGATAAACTTGGGGGAGATGGTGTTGTTTATCCTGCAACAGCCCCAGCTCTGCCACTCACCAGTGGGTGACCTGCAGGAGACACCATCTGGGGGGCCTCCGAGTCTCTCTTTACAATGGGGAGTATAATGGAGCATCAAACGGGATGACCCCGCGTAAAGCATGTATACAGTGGACAGGGCACACAGTAAGGGCTCAATAAATGCTACCGTTATTATTAATGTGGAATATTATGACACAGCTCCTAAAAATACTGAAGATGCCTTTCAGAAAAAATAAAAAACTTCCTCCAAAGCCCTTATATTCATGGAAAAAAGTATGTGTAAAAACACTGTCATTAAGAAAAACCTAATAAATATCTACATATAATTTAAAAGAAAAAGAGCAGCAAAATGAAAAACTTAGGGACTTCCAGTTAAAGATGGCAGATATAACACACTCATTTACATTTGCTCCCTCATGAAGGCCTACCAAATAAAACAAGTACAATTTCGTTTTGTTGCTTAAGCATAAACTGCCAAGAGCAAAGAGAACTCGAGAGGAGACCCAAAACTACAAAAACCAACCAACCAACCAACCAAAAACCCCTTAAGAAGCAGAAAAGCAAATGGATGGGGGGATTTGGCTCAGCAGACCCAAGAAACCAAGTCCTAAACTGGCGGCCAGGTAAGCTGAGAAGCAACCCGGTTTACATCAGAGCACCCCCAAAGGCTCAGGAAGCTGCACAACCAGGTAACTCAAGAAGTGGGGGTGAAGATGGGGCTAAAAACAGGAGGACTCACTGAATGGTCTATTTAATAAAGAAGAAACTCATTCCCAGAATTCTCTTCCCTATCCCGAGCCTCCACAACTGTGGTAGAAACCTTTCCTCAGAGGTGCCTGGGTGGCTCAGTTGTTAAGCGTCTGCCTTCGGCTCAGGTCATGATCCCAGGGTCCTGGGATCGAGCCCCGCATCGGGCTCCCTGCTCGGCGGGAAGCCTGCTTCTCCCTCTCCCACTCCCCCTGCTTGTGTTCCCTCTCTCGCTGTGTCTTGCTCTGTCAAATAAATAAAATCTTAAAAAAAAAAAAAAAAAAAAAGAAATCTTTCCCCAAACTGAAGGGCCTAAGTTAAGAGAATGAAAGGGTTCTTCCCCCAGTACAGGAGATGAAAGTGTCACAGCAAGACACACCAAGGACTGGGATTAAGAGAAAACCCTGAGCCTGCAGTGGGCAGGTTTCCTACAAGGAATCAGAAAGGCATTGAGTTTCTCACAGCACCTAGGGAAACTTGGAGGCAGTGAGGCAATGTCCTCAAAACCTAGAAGAGATACCCAACAACACAATCACGGTCAAGAGGAAGGACAGAATTAAAAAGCTTGCAGATATGAAAGGTTTAAATGTTTCCCTCAGGTGTACCTTTTCTGCAGAAGCTATTGAAGGATGGACCAACCAAGATAAGGCTGTAAACTAAGAATTGGGGTACAGGAAACAGGAATCCAGAACAAAACAGAGGTAAAAGGGCTCCAGTGAAGGGAGACACCAAGGTAAGACTGGTAGCAAAGCTAGAAATCAACTAGTCCAGATAAGAGCAGCTTGTAAAGCCTCAGAAATAACTTTCTTCATAGAGTTGAAACATGTCTGAATTAATGGATAGGAGGTTCACATAACTGGAGAAGAGGTTGAGAGTTAATTCGTGATATGAACATAGACATACATAAAATATAAGAATTACTATCTTCAGGAAAATGAAAAATCATACAGAAAAGGAAGAGTATAAGGCTCAGCTGTAAGGAACATTTGTGGTGGCATAATATAAACCCTATTCTAACCAAAATTAGGATATAAATCTATCGGAAGTGTAGACAGAAAGCATGTATGCATGTGGAGTACAAGAGAGAGCTAAATCCTCACACTCCATAGTGAGAAGTCAAGAAATAATGTCCACAAATGACAGACAGATCAAGAAGTGCCAATATAAACATGTACTCAGAAATATGGTTGTAAATACCCAGTGCATCCACTGAAAGGGAGCACGGGGGGAGGGGGGAGCACAGAAGCGGGCAACAAGCGACTGGTTTGGTTGTTTTTTTTTTTTTGAACAAGCCTGTACACCATTTGACTTTAAATTTTGTGCATACAAAATTATGATGAAAATAAAAACTGAGTAACAAAACAGAGAAAACCTGTATTCTTTTTCTTTTTAATTTTTTTTAAAGTAACCTCTACACTTAATGTGGGGCTCGAACTTACAACCCTGAGAACAAGAGTTGCATGCTCCACCAACTGAACCAGCCAGGTGCCTCGAAACCTGTATTAAAACTTCAGAAGTCAAATAACATTAAGATTTTTTTTTCTTTTAAAGCAAACTCTAGGGGTATAAAGGTAAGAAACAGGTTAGAAAACACTGAAATAAAGAACAGAGGGAGGACTTCCTACGAGTGGATTTCTGTGTGTCCCTAAACTCAGGCCTGGAGAAGATCTTATCTGTCATGTTCTGCAAACCATGGCTTACTGCTTTTGCAGATTAGGGTTCAGGCTTCTTACAAACCATTGCTCAACTAGGAAGGACATTTCAAATATTATTTTAGATCAGAAGACGAAAGAGAGAGCAACTCCGGATCTCACCTGCCACCTTCTCCAGCAGCGGCAATCGCTTCCTTTGCGAGTCGCAAAGCGGTTTCCTGACTGTACCAAAACTGGCTCAGCTGCTGGAACAGAGCAATGAGTCGAAATCATTTTCGAACCGCCATAAATGTTGTCCTTTTAATTTATATCTACTATATTGGTGTGCATATTTTTTTACCAGTTTTTTTATAAAGTAATTATTCTTTAAAATTATTTTAAATTAACAGAAGGCTCTAAGTAATTCCTAGAATCTAGGCGCTGAGCATCAGGGGCTGCTGACATCACAAAAGGAGACAATCAGTCAGTATTGCTGCTGATGGAAGAACACACTCCCACCTTTGTGTGACTCTTGCCCAAAAAACTGAACCTGAATCTGATTAAGCTTCTAGATTCAACTACCAATTAGCAGAATCACAAATATGGAAGATAGAAGAACATGTTAACCGACACCACAGGGATGAGGGCAGCAAAACCCAGTCTGTGATCCTTCCCGCCCCCCCCCCCCCGCCCTCCCTCCTCCTACCGGCCTCTGTCTTTACCTTATGAATGTTTCCTGAGTTACTTGTTTTTCCCTCAGGGGGTAAGTTGTTTGTCATCTTGCTCTTTCTCTTTATGCTGATTGATGACTTTCTTTTAACTTTCTAGTGATCCTTAATTATCCACTTACTTCATATATAAAAGGGGTAAAATTTTAATGGAAAAAGTAGATTCCTCTGCAATGGAATTGGAGAATAGGCCTCCTCTGGAATGTGAGGGCTGGGAGCAAGTGGTGGGAGTAGACAAGTGTGCTGCCAGGGTATGCCGAGGACTCTCAAATCCAGCTTTAAAAATGTCTCCAAAACATCTGATCATTTCAATAAATGCAAAAAGAAGAGCATTTAACAAAATTCAACAATGCTTCATGATTAAAAAAAAAAAAACTCATGGGGCTTCTGGGTGGCTCAGTGTTAAGCGTCTGCCTTCAGCTCAGGTCAGGTCCTGGGATCAAGTCCTGCATCGGGCTCCCTGCTCAGCGGGAAGCCTGCTTCTCCCTCTGCCTGCCGCTCCCCCTGCCTGTGCTCTCTCTCTCTCTCTGACAAATAAATAAATAAAATCTTTAAAAAAAAAAAAAAAGAGGGCGCCTGGGTGGCTCAGTTGGTTAAGCGACTGCCTTCGGCTCAGGTCATGGTCCTGGAGTCCCTGGATCGAGTCCCACATCGGGCTCCCTGCTCAGCAGGGAGTCTGCTTCTCCCTCTGACCCTCCCCCCTCTCATGTGCTTGCTCTCTCTCATTCTCTCTCTCTCAAATAAATAAAATCTTAAAAAAAAAAATAAATAAATAAATAAAAAAAAGAAAGAATGTTCAAAGCAGACATTCTTGACTTTTCTCTTACGGGGAAAAAATAGATCTTTCGTTTTTTTTTTTTTTAAGATTTTATTTATTTGACAGAGAGAGAGACAGCGAGAGAAGGAACACAAGCAGGGGGAGTGGGAGAAGGAGAAGCAGGCTTCCCGTGGAGCAGGGAGCCCGATGCGGGGCTCAATCCCAGGACCCTGGAATCATGACCTGAGCCGAAGGTAGACACTTAACGACTGGGCCACCCAGGCGCCCCTCAATATTCTTATTCAACATTCTACTGCAGGATCTAGCCTTTGCATTAATGAAAGAAAATAAATGAGTAACAGTCAAAAATGAAGTAAAACTGGGCGCCTGGGTGGCTCAGTTGGTTAAGCGCCTGCCTTCAGCTCAGGTCATGATCCTGGGGTCCTGGGATCGAGTCCCGCATCGGGCTCCCTGCTTGGCAGGGAGTCTGCTTCTCCCTCTGACCCTCCTCCCTCTCATGCTCTCTGTCTCTCATTCTCTCTCTCTCTCAAATAAATAAATAAAATCTTTAAAAAAAAAAATGAAGAAAAACTGCTAATATCTGCACATTATGTGACTGCTGACCTAGAAATACCAAGGGGGATAAACATTTCCAAAGGTGTACTGTACCTATTCATTTGGATATATAATATATGAACTATGTCTACGTCTAATCATTCTTAGCTGCAGGAAAATACCAAGGTCTGACTCTCTTTGCTTAGGAAGCTGGAGGAAAGCCCCTAGCACACTACACACGGTATGCAGGGAGTTCTGTTCAACTTGATCTGGGAGATGGGAGTTTTCTGGCAGTTGGCTACCGAGCTGCCCTTCTCCCTTACTCCACATTGTCAGAGCACAGCTGTGTGTTTTGGCTCTCCTCATACCCTTCTAAAAAATAAAAATCTTTCTCTTAATCAGTGTGTTGCATGAACATGGCTTTAAAAGTCAAAAGCACTACTAGGCTTACAAAGAAAAACAAGTCCCTGCCCCCCATCTCCTGCCACTGAGCCCCACTCCTCAGAAGCATCTTTGAACTCTTGGCTCCCCTATCATTTGTTCCCATATTTCCAAATATTATGCTTTAAAAGCTCCCTTTTTTTAAAGTTTATTTATTTTTTTTAAGTAACGTCTGCACTCACAACCCCAAGATCAGGAGTCCCATGCTTTTCCAACTGAGCCAGCCAGGTACCCCTAAATGCTTTCTCTTGATTAATCCACTTTACATTATGGCAGACGAGGATTTCACTCTGTCATGTACACCTTCTCCTATCCCGTCCCCTCCCCATATAATTGTAACCTGTTTTGGTTAAAATCATTGTCAATGTTCAATGTGGGTCTTCCATTTCCTTCTAGTATGTTACCTTTTCTTTTTCCTAGACTTAATACATGTATCATTTGCTTGTTTCTTTGAGCCCACCTCTAATTCTTCCAACATTCTCTGGCAGCCTTGGGGAAGCAGTGCATGGGAGGTCAATGCCATGAGACTTGCCATTTCTAAAATGTTTTTTATTTTATCTTCATGTTTGATTGATAGCTCAGCTGAGTACAGAATTCTAGGCTGAACAAAATTTTACTCCAAATACTGAAGACACTGCTCCATTTTTTTCTAGTTTTTTTTTTTTTTTTAAAGATTTTTTTTTTATTTATTTGACAGAGAGAGACATAGCGAGAGAGGGAACACAAGCAGGGGGAGTGGGAGAGGGAGAAGCAGGCTTCCCCGCAGAGCAGGGAGCCCGATGCGGGGCTCGATCCCAGGACCCTGGGATCATGACCTGAGCTGAAGGCAGACGCTTAACGACTGAGCCACCCAGGCGCCCCTTTTTTCTAGTTTCTAACAAAGCTATCAAGAAGTACAGTGTGACTCATCCTGAGACTTTGTAGGTGGCCTGCTTTTCCTCTGGAAGGTTCTAAGATCTTGTCACCTGCATACAGAATTTTCACAGTCATGTAACCATGTGTCTTAGTAAGGATCTGCAGTTCTGGAAATTTTCTAATATTAATCTTTGAAGATTTCCTCCCTGCCTTTGTTTTCTGTTCTGTATTTCTAACTCCATTTAGTTAAATGTTGAGCCTCCTGGATTTATCCTCAAGTTTTATGTTTTCTCTCCAATACTTGCATCATTCTCTCTCTCTTTTTTTTGGTTCCTAGGAAATTTTCTCAATTTGATAAATCAAACCAAAGAAAGTGTCAAAATTATAAAAATACTTAATTCTTAAGTATTGGGATTAGGAAAAACTTATTTTTGTGTTCATATTTTTATATATTTTCTACAACAACCATGGATTACTTTTAGAATCAGAAAAAAACACACAGTGCTTCAAACATTAAGCAGGGGGGAAAGAAAAAGAAAAATGAGGTACTTCAAGTCTCTGACATTTACTACATACAGAAGCATCAAACCAGAAAACAAAGACACATAAAGAAGGGAAATTGTGAGAAAGAGGCTTTTGCGTAGGTAGAACATTTAGTGTAAATGTAAAGAAATATTTTTATCAGTCAGTTTCAAACAGATGGTAAATAGGAGAATTTTATACAACTTAAGAGATCCAAACTTGACACAAAATGTAAAAGGCTATTAAAAAAAAAAAAGGCATACAAAAGATTCCTTCTAGTTCCAAAGTGACAGAGAGAGACATCCATTATTGAAGGGTGTGCACAGACAGAAAACCCAAGCTTCATCTATTTCTCAACTATCTCCTTCAAAATTTTAAATTGCCAGGTTCCAGCTCAGGTTGGTTTTCCTCAACTCATTTTTTTTCTCTTTTAATTCCTATTTTTATTTAGACCATAAAAATATAATTAAAATACACTCTATGCACCAGAAATTATTAATATCTTCTTTAGAACTCCCTCTCATCTTTTTTTTTTTTGCATGTTTAAGTTTAGCTACCCCATTTGCTGCAATGATATATTTTACCCCTTCCACAAGGATGCTGGGCTCCATAAAAACCAACAGAAACCATCTGTATACAAGAAGGAAGCACAAGTTTGTGTTGGTCATAAACTAACATGCTGTTTCCTCATCTGAAAAGTCCCCCTGTCTGACCACCAACTAGCCTGATGGTCAGAACCAGGAAAATCTACATTTATACTGTCTTAAATAATCATGGGCTGCTTTTTGTCTTAGCTCCCCAGACAGGCTATCAGTTCCTGAGAGGCAGGTGAGACAAACATGGGTGTGAAGTGGGATGCAGACAAACACAGGGCAGATCGGACAGGTGCGGACAGGTGCGGATAGGTATGGACAGGTGCGGACAGGTATAGACAGATGCGGACAGGTGTGGACAGGTATGGACAGGTGTGGACAGGTACAGATGAGGACAGGTGTGGGCAGGTGCAGACAGGTACGGACAGATGCAGACAGGTATGGGCAGGTGTGGACAGATATGGACAGGTGCAGACAGGTACGGACAGATGCAGACAGGTATAGACAGATGCAGACAGGTATGGACAGGTGTGGACAGGTGCAGACAGGTACGGACAGATATAGACAGGTATGGAATCAGTGCTGCACCCATACTTCCTGAGAGATGTGGAATGCATTTACTTACCCAGTTCTCTTCTATTATTCCAGTGTTATATTTATCATCCCTGCCTGCGTCACTTTGTTGCTTCTGCTCAGCATAAAATTCCTGGAGGGCTGCTAAGGTGTGGGAAGACAGCCGGGGGATATCGTCATCATCAGAGTCACTCATTTCACAAATTGTCTATAACCTGCAAATAAATAAGCAAAGGTGTTGTGGGGGTATTTTTCCCTTTCCCATCAAATAACAATTTAGAAATTTTTTATCTCACAGCAAGGATCCAAACTGGAAGTGGGTTTAATAAGGGAAACTCGTATTTAAAATTTCTGGGATCAAACATCTACAGAGGTCTCCTATTGAACTACAGCTCAATAAATGCAGGCTTTTCCTTTACATGTGTTCAGTTTTTACAAATGAGATGCTTGCATTTTATTTTATTATGTTATGTTAGTCACCATACAGTACAACATTAGTTTTTGATGCAGTGTTCCATGATTCATTGTTTGCGTGTAACACCCAGTGCTCCATGCAGTACGTGCCCTCCTTAATACCCATCACCAGGCTAACCCATCCTCCCACCCCCGCTCCTCTCTAGAACCCTGTTTGTTTTTCAGAGTCCATTGTCTCTCATGGTTCGTCTCCCCCTCCGATTTCCCCCCCTTCATTTTTCCCTTCCTGCTATCTTCTTCTTTTGAGATTCTTGCATTTTTAAGACTCCTGGCAGAATGAATTTTTTTTTAAGATTTTATTTATTTATTTGACAGAGAGAGACACAGCGAGAGAGGGAACACAAGCAGGGGGAGTGGGAGAGAGAGAAGTAGGTTTCCCATGGAGCAGGGAGCCCGATGCGGGGCTCCATCCCAGGACCCTGGGATCATGACCTGAGCCGAAGGCAGACGCTTAACAACTGAGCCACCGAGGCACCCCAGAATGAATTTTTTTACCATAAATATCTAAAGACATTTTGCTTTCTTCTGGCCCCCCCAATTGCCATATGTGCACACTTCACTGTAGATCCCCTGAATCAGAGATTATTCCAAATTTGAATGTCACTGTTCAGGTGATCTAAGGCTCAGGGGTGTTATTGATAGGGCAAGTGAAGGACAGTTAAAGGAGGGGAATAGAAAGAGGTATGGAAATTTAAAGGAATGACAAGGAGAATGGGAAGAAGTAAAACACAGGGAGGGAGAAAAGGAAGGGGTCTTGCAGGAACTGATGGCCAGGCCAATCACTTCTTGTGGTACCACCGGAATTAGCCAGACTGAGAAGTTAAGGCACAGCCCTGGTCCAGACAGCAAAGTCTGCCCAAGAGTCCTGACCACTCCAAGTTTGGTGGGTTCCCAAAACCACCCTCATGTTCAGTAATTTGCTAGAAGGATTCACAGAACTCCACTCACAGCAACTGTACTCACAGATGCATTTAATCCAGGGAAAGGATACAAACCAGAGCCAGCCAAAGGGAGAGATGCACAGTGCAGTGTCCAAAAGAGTTCCAAACAGGAAGCTCCCAGTGCCCTCAGGATGCATCTCCCTCCTGGCACAGATGTGGGACAATATGCGTGGGGTCCCGCCAACCAGGGAAGCTTTGCAGAGTTTCAGTGTCCAGCTATTATTAAGGCTTCACTATGTTGGTATGAGTGACTGAATGATGGCCCACCCGGCTGAAGTCAGTCTCCAGCTCCCCCAACCAGGAGGTAGGGTTGATAAGGCCTGAGGGCCCTCCATAAATAACAAAGACCTTCCCACAACTTGGGAAAGTTTAAGTGTTTACAGGTTACCTCCCAAGGGCCGTGGCAAAGGCCAAACCTCTCTTTGAGGTCAAATTCCTTACTACATGGTACCAAACATATTTTTAAATCTTAAGTTATCTAAGAGCATAAAACCAGCATCCTATTTGCTTTTTAAAACATGTCTAAAGTGTACAGCAAGTGATGTGTTGAAAATCAGCAAAGATTATTCAGTAGCTTCATCACGTTGCTCCCTTCCTCCTCCAAGGCCTATGGGGGTGTATCTGATTGACAATCTTGGCCTTCTGCCTACGCCGCCAAGGGCAGCTGGTAAAACAGCATTCGAAACTGGCAAATTCCCAGGCTTATAGCAAAAGGGTTCAAGAGATGCTGAGCTGCCATTTAAAATGACAAATGCCGGGGCGCCTGGGTGGTGCAGTTAATCTGCTCAGGTCACGATCTCAGAGTCCTGGGATCCAGCCCCCTGTCGGGCTCCTTACTCAGCATGGAGTCTGCTTGAGATTCTCTCTCCCCTCTGCCCCTTCCACTCATGCTCTCTCTAAATAAGTATTTTTTTAAAAATTGAAATGCCTGCTAGATGCTGCTTTTGTTCTCCTTTTCAAAATCAAAGAGCTAGCCATTCTACCTATGATCCAAAAACAACCAAAAAACAAAAACTAAAACCAAAAACAAAAAACAAAAAAACACCTAAAAACCATGTATATACCAACTACTGACAAACTAATGTATTTTCATGAAGTACAAATAGCTTGTTGATTCCTTCTTTCCTTTCTTCATCAAAGACTCACCTGTAAAAGCTTGTTAATAAAACATCTGGTCACACAAATTAATCTAGAAATATAAATAAGCCCTCTATGAACAAGCAATTTCCCCTCTAGGAAGAGAAGGAGCAAAACAAAGGTATAAACACTATGACAGATTTATATAAAGTTCAAAAACAAATAAAATTAAATTATTTAAAGAAGCATATCGACCTACATTTATCAAAGATAGACTAATTTTGTTACCAAACCTTCCCAAAGAGAAGACTCGAGGCTGAGCAAATTCACTGATGAGTTCTATCAAACATTTAAAGAAATGTTGATAATTTTATCATCCAGAAGACAGAGGAGAAAGGAATACTTCCCAACTTGTTTAATGAAGCCAGATTAAATCTAACATGAAAATATGTCAGTACATAACCGGGTTCAATGCCTGATCAGATACTGAGGGTGATCAGATATCAGAGGCGGAGAGGGGTGGTGGTTTCTGGTGAAACTGATTTAGCAAGCTTCTTGCTAAAACTAGATTTTACAAAGAAGTGCACAGATGGGCCTAGAAGGTTTAGGAGCCTGACTTAAGTTTGATTAAGCAAACAATCTTAGCTACAGGAAACTGCGGTCTGCAGGCCAAATCAGGCCTGTGGCTTGTTTCTGCAAACCAAATTATTGGGAAAACAGCCACACCCTTTGGTTTACATATGGCTTACAGTAGTTTTTATGATAAGCCTAAAATATTTACTACCTGGTCTTTTACAGAAAGTTTGCTGACTCCTAGTTTAACAGTTTAAAAGAGAAAAGCCATATGATCATTTGCATGGATACTACAAAAGCATTTGACAAAATTCAACATCCATTCATGTTAAAAACTGAGCAAAGTAGGTATAAAAGCGAACTTCAGTCTGAAAAAGGGAACCCACAAAACACATAAGCTTCATACTTTTCTTAGTGGTGAAACACTGAATGCTTTCTCTCTATGCTCAGGAACAGGGAAGGATATTCACTGTCACCACTTTCATTTAACATTATCCTGGCCTTTCCAGTTAATTCAAGAATGCAAACAAACAAAACAAAAAACAAGCAAGCATAAAGACTGGAAAGGAAGAAATGTCCCTATTTGTAGACATGATTATTCACAGAGAAAATCCTAAGGAAACACTACTCTCATGCAGGTGATCAAGGTCAACATCAATAGTGATAATTCATTATCAGTGGCATGTAGCCGTGATTATGTGGTGATGAAAACAGCACTTCATCTCCATGGTCTTCCCCCCAAAAAACACATAATCGCAGTGTAAGCATGACTGAAAATCAGACAAACCCCAATTAAGAGTCATCAAAAACAAGAAAAACACAATAGACAGTCACTGCCAAGATGTTAATAATAGGGGAAACTGGGTATAGGTATAGAGGAACTTACTGCACAATCTTCACAATTTTTCTGTAAACTTAAAACTATTCTATGATAAAGTTTATTTTTAGAAAATTTTAAGGAAGCATAACCAACTTCAACAACAAAAACTACTAGAACTAATAAGTGAGTTTATCGAAGTCTCAGAGTACAAGATCAATACAGAAAAATAAATTGCATTTCTGTATTCTAGCAGCAAATAAATGGAACTTAAAAGCAATTTCCCATAAAATAGCATAAAAAATACTTACGTGTATATTTATCATAAAAACTGTAAGACCTCGATACTGAAAATTCCAAAGCACTGCTGAAAGAAATCAGAGAAGACCTAAGTAAAAGGAGGGACATACCATGCTCACAAACTAGAAGAATTAGTATTATTAAGGTGTCAATTCTCCCCAGATTGATCAATACATTCAATATATCCAATCAGGGTGTGTGTGTGTGTGTGTGTGTGTATGTGTGTTTGCATGCACCTGCGTGCATGTGTGAGTTTAAAATAGAAACTGACATACTGGTTCTAAAATTTATTTAAACATTCATTCACTGAAGGACATTAAGATTGCTTCCAGTTTTTGGCTATTAAGAATAAAGTACTATGAACAGCTATGTAAAGTTTTACATTTTTTTCAGACTAAAGCTTTGTTTATATAAACATCAGATAAATCACAGCACCAAACCACTTATCAATATTTTGATTAGCTTCTATATCCTCAGGACCAGAAACAAATGGCCAAAATAAGAGTGGACAAATAAAACAAGTAAACTGAAAGAATGGAAATGCTGATGAGAATGCAGGGATATTGGTACTCTAAGTTGGTTAATAATTTAAGTTGGTATAATCTCCTTTTGGAAAGAATCAGAGATTCTGGACATAAGGATATTCCTACTTTCTGACCCAATTCTCATTTCTAAACTTTATATTTTGAAATGTTTACAGATTCACAGGAAGTTGCAAAACTAAAACACAGAGGTCCAAGTATCCTTCACTTATTTTTTTTCTCATTCTAACAACTTAAAATCAGGCCACGACTTTAAAATGAGGGTGTATAAGTTTAATTGTGGGCATGTTTTCTTAAAGTGATGGTATTCTTATTATCCATGGCATCTTAGATTTGATGAAACACAGCTACCACTGTAACAACTATAGGCAATGCAGTGAATCATCCATGCAGCAGAACCACCATTTTATAGCCTCAACATAAAGTGGTCAGAAAGAGGTGAGACTGTTGTGGGAGTTGACAATGTCTAAGT